CCTTGTAATAGCACGCGAGACTCCTCGATCTCACCGCCGGGAACCTTCTCCACCTTGGCGAAGCGCTTGATGTCCACCTCGTTGCGGGAGTTCTCGGACCCGTCGCCGTGCACGGCCACGGTGAAGACCGCCCGGTAGGCCAGGTCGCACATGAGGTCGCTCCAGCGGCTGTGCGGCACCGCATCGACGAGAGGAAGAGAGGGAGAAGGTGATGGTTAGTCCCATGTGAGCTGCCACAAGCAGGAGGGGAGCAAATGCAAGGGCGACACGTGGCCGGCCCTGGCTCGGCGACGAACCTGACGTATTTGGTGCCGAGAGAGCTGCGGATGGTGGAGATCATCTCCTCGCGGTTGTGGATGTCAATGGGCTTGACGATGGTCTTGTAGAAGGCCAGACCCTCCTCGAGCGCCTGGCTGAAGGCGCGAATGATAACGGTCGGGTGCATGTCGCCCTCGACGAAGGGCAGGGCCACATTGAGGACCTCGCCGGCTGCGGAGATGGGTGCGAGAAAAAAAAAAGGAAAGAAACAAAAGAGGCGGAAGGCATGTCAGAGTCTCTGTGGCTGCGGTGTGGTGTGTCCGCCCCCCGCCTGTCCCCAGGGGGAGTAAGAGCGGGGAGGGAGGTATCCGCCCACGGCGGCCGGACGCAGAGTCAGCACAACGCACCCAGGACAATGACCGAGGTGGTGCCATCGCCGACCTCCTCATCCTGAGTGTGGGACAGCTCAATCATGGACTTGGCGGCCGGATGGGCGATGTCGCACTCGCGCAGGATGGCGTTACCATCATTGGTCAGGACAATGCCGCCCATCGGGTCAAGCAGCATCTTCAGCATGGCGCGCGGGCCCAGGCAGGTGCGGATGATGTCGGCGACAGTCTGAATGCCGAGTGGGCAGGCCCCGGGAACGAAAGAGGGAGCGAGTCGCGGCGGGCAGGGGGTCAGGGCGCGGTGGGGGGCCAAAGGGGCCAGATGGCAAGCGAGGGGCCGGAGCCAGGCCAGACCGGGCCAACGGCGAGGGGGACAAGCACAGCCATACCTTGGCAGCATTGATGTTCTCAATCTGGGTCTTGCGGCCGTGCTGGCGCTTGGTGTTCTGCTCTGTGGGTGGGAAAGGAGGAAGGAGGAAGGCAGCGAAGAGGGTCAGCAAAGTGCCCGTGGGCACCTCTGGGAGGAGGACACTCACAGGGGCGCAGGCGCAAGGAGGCAGGGCAGTGGCGTACGCAGAACAAGAACGGGGGCCTGCATTGTGAGGGGAAAACTGCCCGAGCAAGGGAGAAAGAGAGATCGGTCGCAGGGGGGAGGGGGAGGGGGGGGGGAAGAGGGGATGGTCCGTGTCAGAGGAGGGGGGGGGGGAGGGAGGAGGAGGGGGAGAGAGAGAGGGAGGGACACACATACAGAGAAGGAAGTCCAACCAGAGCAAAAGTGGGAACCGGGAGGATAGGTGAAGCGGCCCCTGGGCCGGGATGACCAGTGTGATGCAGCCCAAAAAGCCCAACCCTCCCCCCGCCCCTCCCGTCGCCCTCCCCTGTTGTGGCCGCGCCTGTGCGTGAGGGGCCGAGAAAGCGGCGGCCTCCCCCCCCCCCCCCCCCGGCCTCCGCCCGGCCCCGCATGCGGCGGCCACTGATTGTATCCACCGCCCACACCTCCGGCCCGCCGCTCTCTCGTGTGCGGGCTCTCCTGCGCTCGCTGGTCTAGGCACATTGGTATTCCCCCGGCTCCGCCACAGGTGGGCGCTCTCGCAAGGGTTTAGGAGTGCTCATGGCTTTTTGCCCATTCCACTGGGTCCGTCCGGAGCCAGTTCCAGGGGAGAGAGAGAGAGGGAGAGAGAACGGCGGCCGAGGAAGTGCAGAAAAAAGGCCGCCCCCCGTCTCCCCCCTCCAGGGAGGTGTGGACAAACTCACCGCGCACGCCCCAAGCCGTGCTAAGATCCCCCCGCTCCGCGCTGGTGGCAGGGCACTCCCAGGGAGAGAGGGGGGGGGGGACGGTAGGCACCACAAGCCGGGCCGGCTCGGGCCGTTGCAGTACACGAGCATGCAGATAGCGGCCCGTTGGGTCGGGGGGGGG